CAGGAGGCCTTAGAGACCTGTGCAGACATGTGCATCATGTCCTTCTCCTCCAGCAAACACTGGTGATATTACTTGGCTCAAATTAGTGTGTGTGTGTGATGGTTTAAGACCTGGTTGACTTTTAGGATGTGGCTGTGGACTTCACCCAGGACGATGGATGCTGCTGGACTCAGCTCAGAGAAGCCTGTACAGGGAGGTAATGCTGGAGAACTACAGGCATCTAGCCACAATGGGTAAGGCAGCCAGCATTCCTTGTGGCCTTGTAGGAAACAGATGAGGCTCCATTCTTACTGTGCTATAATCTCAGCAGCTTCCCCTACAAATGCAGTGAGAAACAGCAGAGGCAGGACTCTGCCCTTGGAGGCTTCATCTCCAGTGGTGGCTCTCCAAATGTTGTTCAGGACCGTGTTTGAAATGTGTGTTCTGACAGACTCAGTCAGAAATCCTATTCTTGGGGCCCTGTCATTGGTGCTAAACCAGCTTGCCAGGTGAATCTCCTGCATTGGAATGTTTAAGAACCACAGGTAGATGATGGGCTGGGGATAGGGCTTGCTAGCATGTGCAGGGTGCTGGGTATCATTCCTAGCTCCCAAAAGGAAAGGAAAAGTAAACAAACAAACATGTTTTGTCTTACCCCTGCTCCCTGCTTAAGTCTCTGTACGTTGTAAATGTGAACTTAAATATGGACATTAGGGGTCAGAGACAATTGACCTTTAGAGGGTACAGGCAGAGGGGATATATTTGCATTTTGGGGTTTTTGAGAATAATTTCACTGGAAATGCTAGTTCCTGTCTTGGAAAGGTTCATTACCTCTATCATGAACCTCTTTAATGGATGTGTCTTTGCTCATACACAGGATTCAGCCCCTCAAACCCAACCTGATCTCTTGGTTGGAACAAGAGATCAAAGCCAGTGGAGGGAGGACTTCTCCCAGGTGAGTGTTCATGTATGACCCTGGTAAGAAGCTCAGTGTTCCATGAGTGGAATGAGGAAACTAACTGTGTGTGTGTGTGTGTGTGTGTGTGTGTGTGTGTGCTTGTGTACTAGTCCTGGGGTTTGAACTCAGGGCCTGGGCCTGAGCTTTTGTGCTCAAGGCTATACTCTACCACTTGAGCCACAGCTCCACATCCAGCTTTTTGGTGGTTACTTGGAGATAAGAGTGTCACAGACTTTTAGGAGTGGGCTGGCTTTGAACTTTGATCCTCAGATCTCAGCCTCCTAGTAGATAGGATTATAGGCATAAATCACTAGAGCCCAACAATCATTGCCTTTTTTTTTTGACATAGTAAGTGATCAAATCTTTTAAAAAACTGTTGAATTTGAAAATAGTTATACATTATCTTTGTCTTCTTCACCTCATTTCCTTTGCCATTTCTGACTCTAAATCCTTAAATTTCTTTATCTTTTTGATTACAGAATGGGAAGTGGGACTGAATCCAAAGGCTCAGCACTTCTGCAGGATTCTTTGAGGGGAAACCTCCAGTGAGATCCACACAGTAAGATTAAGAAAAGGGATATTTTCTTATTTTTCACATTCTGAGAAGATTAGTTCTGTGATAGTAAATGAGAGCCAGACAGATCTGAGGGAAGTAGCATGAACTTGAGAGGGAAACTAGGGGTATGGTGATGTTGGAGATGCCTCAAATGTAGCTTGAAACCTGTTCTTCCCAAGTTTTCACAACTACACATTCCCAGATCTAGAGAGTGTGAAAAAGGTCTTCATCAAATTAGAGAAATGGTACAGGGAAAGAGAAAATAACAGAGACAGTCATTTCGAGCAAATTATAGGACACAAACAGCCTATATTGGTGGGGAGGTGCCAGTGGAAGGTGGGGCAAAGATGGATGAGGGTGAGGAGGGTTAACATTGTTTGTCTACATGTATGAAAACAGAACAGTGAAACTTGTTGGCATTGTTTTAAGAAAAGGGAATTGGTAAGAGAGTGGTGGGTTGAGGAAGATTGGGATGCATAATATGCGGTGGAAATGTTACAATGAAAGCCATTGTGCAACCAGTTTATGCCAGGAAAAGATCTATATAATCTGTTGATGATTAGGATGTACAGCAGAATATTCTGGTGAGAGGATCACTTCATTTCACTTTAAGCAAGTCTACAAACCTCATGTTGTGACTCATGCCTGTAGTCCCAGCTGTTTGGGAAGGTAGCTAAGGCTGGCAGACTGCTTAAGCTGAAGAATCTGAGGCCAGCTTGGGCAACACAGTGAGACCCATCTCTAAAATACAATAAAGAAAGAAACAACAGGAACTGTATGTATAAAATAGCAAAAAAAAAACTGGAGAGAATTATTACATTTGTCTTCAGATGCAAGGAATCTATTAATGGGTTTTGAAAAAAAATCTTTTTTTTTACTGTTTTTAATATTTATTTGTGCAATGTCAATAAATATATAGGCAAAATTAAAGTATTACAAAACTCACAATATTTGTATCTTAATTTGAAACATAATTCACATTATCATATACCTTTCAACAAGAAAAGTTTTAGCATACAAGCACCTTAGAATTCGAATTCCAATTTGGCTCAATGTTTTACATGTTTTCTGGGCAAAAGATACATTTATCATGTCTGTCAAAATTTTTTAATAAGAAAATAGTAACTGAAAATGGAATATTGACATTTTGTATATGAATAGTATAAATTTTAACTGAGAATTCAAGTTATTAAACATTAAGAGTTTATTACATGTATTATACATTCTTTTGCATTTAAGCAATAGATTTTACATGATTTTGGAGGAAAAAAATGTTTCAACTTTATACCAAGTCAATCAATCAGAAATCTGAATAACCTCATATCAAGAGGCATTTATTTATTCTTGGCATTGTCTTCCAATACAAAATGAAGTTGATGCTCTGCTGACTAATATTCTGTGCCAGTGCTAACACTGAGAAATGTTAGATAAATATTGGAGTGACCAAGAAAGTTTAAAAAATACCAATGCCTGCTGAATGTAATCCCAGAGTTTAGGAGGCTGAGACATAAGGATTCAAAGTTTGGGGCCAGCTTTGGCTACATGAGACACAGTCCCCCCCAAAATCCCCTCAAACCCCCAAACTCCCAAACCAATTTCTGTATGCCATGCTTATAATACAGAATTGCTAGAAGGTATGCCCTGGGTATAGAGACTGTTTTAAAATGTCTCAGACGATACTGATGGCAACAGCTCATAAAGCACTAGAGAACTTTTCCATAGTCAGGTCAGTTTTCAGTTGAAAGATTTCCCACTTTGATTTGGGTATCTTGTTATTTTAACCAATGGAGATGTTACCTCCCTTGGTTAGAAAGGATGTTTTCTGTTTTTATTCATTAGTCTTCACATAAAAGGCACAGGGCAAGGCACAGGGCAGTTGCTAAATAGTGTCTTTTGAATGAATACCTTACATTTCTTTGTTATGTCCATCTTGTCCTACAGCATTAATCAAAGAATTCAAAGGTATTTATGGATAAAATAAGTGACTGAAATAGCTATAGAAGCATGCTTTAAAAACTCACGTTTTAAATATAAAAGCCAGGTGTGGTACATGCCTATTATCTCAGCATTCAGGAGGCTGAAGCAAGAGGAACTTGGGTTTGAGGCCAGCTAGTGATATCCTGTCTCAAAAACAAAACACCCCTAAATAAGAACCCCCCAAACAAAAAGAACAAAACCCAGCCCCCCCAAATATATAAATAGATCAAAAGTAGAAAAAAATTAAAAGGAGTGCAATATTTAGCAGCTGAGAATTCAATGAACTTTCAAATATTTTTCATATTCTTACATTTAGAAACAAGAAACTAGTTCTTTATCTAATATCCATAATCACATGTGCAGATAAATTTTATTTTAAAAATAGGATTACAGCTTAATCTTGACCACGCTTAATTTTCAAAATTCAAATAAATAAAAATTTAGTACAATCACAGTAACTTCTGCATAATTGTATTTAAAAAAGATTGTTTCTGTCTAAAGCATCATTATTTATTGTTATGTCCTCTCAGCTGAGATCCAGTAGCTGCTCTGAAGTCTCATGTTGAGTAATAAAACTATTTTGGCACTTCTGTACATGTTTATTAAAGAAACCTTATTAGTAACAGACTTCCTGAACTAGCTAGATTCTCAGATATGGCTTCATTTCTCAGCATGAAAAAAAATCTTTTTAAAAATGAATTTTGCTGGTCCTGGGGCCTGGGTCCTGTTCTTGAGCCTCTTTGTGCTCAAGGCTAGCGGCCTATCATTTGAGCCACAGTGCCACTTCTGACTTTTTCTGCGTAATTGATTGGAGCTCAGAGTCTCAGGGACTTTGTTGCCTGGGCTGGCTTTGAACCGTGATCCTCAGATCTCAGTTTCCCGAGTACAGGTGTGAGCCACCAGCACCTGGCTTGAAATAATACAAATATATGAAGAATTATGTAACATACATGTATATAATAATATATAATTATAGTATGTCATGATCTATATGCATTTTTGAGGAACTCTTTCTTCTCCCTGACTATCAGCAGTGGAGGGGACTTCCTTGAGACGGTTTGATCTTTCAGTATGCACACAGGCCCCAGGTCGCCCCCTGGGAGCACAGCGTCCAGGGGACATTTCCTCTGCCCCCCATCCCCCTGCCCCCTTCCCCCCCCCCACGCTGGAGAGAGACCCGAGGGTGGCAGGGCGGCCGCGCATGCGCGGAGCTGCTGCAGCTGCTCTAGGTTCACTTCCAGAAGGCCTCCTGCCTCCAGGATCACTTCCTTCCGCATCCACAGCGGGGAGAAGCCCTCCGCGTGCGGGGAGTGCGGGGAAAGCCTTGGCCAGGTCCTCCCGCCTCAGCGAGCACCTGAGGACGCATACTGGAGAGAAGCCTTTCCGGTGCGCCATCTCCTCCAAGCTCAGCAGCGCACACCTGAGGATCCACACGGGGGAGAAGCCCTTCGAAGGCAGGCAGTGCGGGCAGGCGCTCACGCACTCCTCCAGCCTCAACAACCCCAGGCGGACTCACAGTGCTGCGGGAAGGCCTTCACATGCGCATCCACACCGGGGAGAAGCCCTGCGAGTGTGGGGAGTGTGGGAAGTCCTTCGGATATTCCAACTCCTTTCAGTTACACGAGAGGACACACACCGGAGAGAAGCCCCATGAGTGCAAGCGGTGTGGGCAAGCCTTCATCTCACCCAGTTCTCTGCAGAATCAGCAAAGACACCACGCAGAAGGAAAACAGAGTGTAGGAAAGTCTGCGCGTGTTGCTCTGTGAAGCTTAAACACCCGAGCGAATGCGCTGGGAAGGAATTTCATTTGTGCTGTGAGGGTTTTTTCTTTCTTACTCAGAGCCAGTACAGATAGGGCAGGCTGCAGGAATGAGAGGCCCTGAGTTCAAGCCCCGGTACTGCCTTCCCTCCCCCCAAGTAGCTCAGCGGTAGAACACTGTCTATCATACATGAGGCCTTGGGTTCGATTCCCAGCATGGCTGGGGCAGGATTGAAAGACCCTAGCCCCCTAGGATACTTTCGTCAACGGGAGGGCGCCCCAGAAAACTCAGACTCCAGGCTGGGAGATGCAATAAGCAAGAGGAGTTTATTTGACGTTTGCGCAAAGGGACTCCCTGCCCCGGGTGGTCAGGGAGCCCCGAGCAGCGGTTACAAGCCTTTTTAAAGGCAAAAACCACAAGATTAATGCATAACACAAAGCATCCCATGATTGGTCCATTTAAAGGTCATCATATACACCAACAATCACTTTACCACGCGGGAAATTTTGTAACACTCTTTGTAAAATGATTGGCGCGGGGGACTCAAGGGGGGTGGTTACTTTGGACAATAAGGGTTAGGGGAGTTCACATAGTTACAGACTTGTGATTGGTTGACATTTGGCCCAGTTTGTGGTCTGGCCAGGTGGTCATTGTCAAGGTTTGTCCCAGGGATGGCTTAATTAATCTGGAACTGAAGAACATGTACTATCTATAACCGCTGTCCTTGTCCTGGGTGGGCTGATATCCGGACATCTGGGCTGGCCAATACTTGAGTCACTGCCCAATTTTATCTCCCAGGGAAAGGGGGTCTGAATGCAAGCATATTTACAGAAGCAAAGTCAGCAGTTAGCAAGTTAATAATGGTAATGGTGAAGTGAGGTTCCTAATTTTTAACCCTTCAGGATGTGAGTGTGAGATGACAAAAACAAATGCCTTATGTCTATTAAAAAACAAAACAAAACAAAAAACACAACGAATCTATGAGCCAGGTGCCAGTGGCTCACCCCTGTAATCCTAGCTACCCAGGAGGCTGAGATCTGAGGATTTAGGTTTGAAGCCAGCCTGGGCAGCAATGTCTGTGACACTGTTATCCCCATTTAACCACAAAAAGCCAGAAGTGGAGCTGTGGCTCAGTTGGTAGAGTACTAGCCTTGAGCACAAAAACTCAGAGACAGTGCCCAAGGCTCTGTGTTCAAGACCTAGGACTGGCAAAACAACAAAACAATACTCAGGAGGCTGAGATTGAGGTTCATAGTTTGAGGCCTACCCTCTTCACAGTCAGCAAAAAGTGGGGTACAGTGTTGCATGCTTGTTATCCTAGGCAGGCCTGACTGTGATCCTCTTGTATAAATGCAAGACCATATTAAAAAAGAAATGCAAAAGGGGCTGAGAAGATGGCTGAAGTGATACAGCTCCTGCCTGATAAGCCCAAGGCCCAGAGTTCACCAAATGAAAAGTGTGTGTAGGGTACTGGGCTGTTCCGATGCATTCAGGAGCTTTAGCTCACCCCAATAACACTTGTCAAATTCCTCAGGAAAATACTAGAAGTATTTGCCACAAAAGACATTAGGCCCCAAGACTTTTTAGGTCATTTGAGATGTTGAAATTATTGAAGATTCAAAATCTTTGGGATTAGACTCATTTATGAAGACTGCTTTCTTCAACTTCAGTGTAGTTGGTCACTAATGCTTGCTTGCATTATACTATAAATGTCAGTATAGGTAATAACATCCAATCTGTAAGGCAAGAGGTAGCTATTGACTAGATTTGACTCAATTTGATCTTTTATACAAATCCATTGAATTGTACAATACTCAAAATGTGTTTGTACTATGATTCTACTAACATGGTTTATACAGTGTTAACCAGAGCAGGGTGTTGCTGGAAGGGCACAAGGTCACTTTTCAAACAATTTCATAAAATGGTTCAACTTAATCAGAAGAATGTGTTTAAGTGTAATTGAGCCAGATGCTAGTAGCTCACACCTGTAATCCTAGCTACTCAGGAGGCTGAGATGCGAGGATCCCAGTTCAGAGTCAGCCCAGGTGAGAAATTCTGTGAGACTGTTCTCTCCAATTGTCCGCCCAAAAGCCAGAAGCAGAGCTGTGGCTCACGTGGTAGAGTACCAGCTTTGAGCAGACAAAGCTAAGGAACAGTGCTTAGGCCCTTAGTTCAAGTCCCAGTACCAACACACACACACACATAAAGCTAGATTTTGGGGCATCATTTGAAAGTGGTTGAGGATGCAGAAAAGACCCTGCCTGTGCACTCCGACTGTCCTTCTACACTCACCTGTGGGACACGGACACCCCAAACCTGCCTCTCCTGGGCCAAACCCCACAAGACTTCGAGGGAGCCAGAAAGGCAGCTAGCAGCAGCTGCAGCCCAGGAGGGCAGAGGGGTGGCGGGTGCTCATGGGGTGGCTGGTGCATGGAGCGGGGCCTCTTTGTGACGTCTTTGAGGGTGTGGCACAGAGGGTCTATCCGGTGAGCCCAGGGCAGGGCTGGGTGGATACCTTCATGAGGTGAGGGTGTTTAAGAGGTTTGGAGTGCTTTTTCTTTTAAGCTTGAAGGGGGAAATAGTGGGACAGTAAGTGTGTAACTTGGTCAAAGTCTCACTGCAGGTATCTGTGAGAGCTCGAACCCACTTCTGAGGCCATACTCCTTCCCCCTCCTCCCCCCTCACAGAGTAAAGTTCCCCAGATGTCTAGAGGAATCTACAGAAGCAAGGAGGGAAAAGCAAAAGCCTCACTTTTTGCCCATTATAGAATCCCTTGGGCACTGTCCCTTATGGCTTTGAACTTGCCAGGCAGGCGCTCTACTAGTTGAGCCACGCCTCCAGTTCCACTTTTTTTTGCTTCAGTTTTCAAATAGGAATTTTTTTTTTTTTGGCCTCTGACTGGGTACCCCTTCCAGCATGCACCTCTGGGGTCCAGTCTGTCCATTGTTCATGGGTTAGGTCGTCTAGAGACAATGACTAAGAGACCATGACTGCGCAAGGCAGGTGAGGGGTGCAGAACCTTTATGGGAAGGGGGCCTTTGTCCTGATTGCCTAGGCAGGCTCCTCTTCTGTTCTCATAATTTGTTTCTGACTTATCATTGAGGAAGTGCTGGACAAAGAGAGAAAAATCAGCTATGAATACTAGAACAAGGAAAAAAACCAGAAAACCTTGAAGTTCAAAGTAATGAACTGACAGCTATTAGTTTCCGTTTCCTGGTAAAGGACTTAGTTATGAATAACATTCCTATCGCAGCCATCAAAGTCTGAAGGACTGAATGGATAGTGTATCTTACAGATGGGTTGGGTTTAGAGTTGTAAGAGTGTTCGAAGGACAGCGCTCTGTGCAGTGAGAATGCCAATTGAGAATCTTAACCCCATCTATTATCTCACATAAGCCCCGCCCCTGGATTCCAGCCCCACCCCCAATGACGTTCAACCAATCTCCGCCCCTTCCTCAAGGGGAACATTGAAAATCCACGTCTCTAGAGCCATACCTCGCTTCAGCCTCACTCCAGAGGCCGAGCAAGAAGCTCCACCATTCACCTGGTCCTGCCACGGCGTGACCCGTACGTGTGGTTCTTCTATGCGCCATCTCAACGTCGGCCCAAAGTACCATTTTGGTCTGTTGGTCCAAGCCAGACTTAGCATCTGCCCCGCCGTTGCCCCGCCCAGCCAAGGCCACGCCCCTAGAAACCACGCCCACGCGAGGGCGGTACAAAACCGGGAAGCCGCGGCGCGTGTACGCGCGTGCGCGACGCAACCGCTTCCGCCCCGTCCCCTTGCGTCGGAGGTCGCCACGTCCTCTCACCCCCCCCCCCCCGCCGGGTTGTGGGGTAAATTTGTGCCCTCAGTCAACAATCGACCCGGCGCGCCCCGGCATCCAGGGCTGGGGCTGCCGGAAACCGAGGGCCGGGCTGGGGCGGTTCCCGGGCCTTGCGCAGCCGCGGTGTCGCCTGACTGCGTCCAGCCGCCGCGGTGACTCGCACGCCGGCGGGAAGAATTTCCTCAGTCCCCACACGGGTCCTCTGCTCTGTGCCTACAGCCACCGCAGCCCTCCCGGGCCTTCGGGGGACAGGGCCAGACCCGCCTGTCCCCACCACGTTTCAGGTGAGCTGGGTCCTCCTCCCCTCCCCTCCCTCCTCTTCCATCCCCTTCCCCTTCTTTTCTCCCCTCCCCTTCCCCTCTTCTCCCCTTCCTCCTGGAGAGCTTCCCGCTCTCTGTAGGGGTGTCGGGGGAGGGCGGTGCAGAAGTAGCAGCTGTTGGAAGTGAAGCCTGAGAAGCTTAGGATATGAATAAATCAGCACTTTTCTGGATTAGAAACAGCATATTTGTGCTTGTAGCCACTGCTTGGTACATTTGAAACCTTTTTGTTACCATGACAAATTATGATGGGCCATGTGTTAATTTACTTACATAGTATTGCTCAGCTGCTTCTGTGTGGCCAGTAAGGAGCAGACCCTTATTTTTCTAGCGCTAGGAGGAGACAAGTTTGCTGCTTCTGTAAGACCAGTGAGGAGAGTTGTCAGTCATAACATACATCTGGAGTTCTGAATGTGGAAATTGAGAGCAGCTCTGGATTCTCAGGTCAGCATCTACATTACCTGTGACATATCAATATCTTGCTTCTTTTCCTGAAGGTACAGAGAGGAATAAAGAATGACTGTTGAATTAAAGAGAATTATGATAAAGGTGAGTGGAAGGCAATAATTTTCCTAAAGATTTCTCCTTCTTTCCAGTTGGTGAATTGCACGTTTTAGCAATCTGTGCATTGGATCACACAGCAAATATTTTAGGCTTTGTAGGTCTTAAGAGTTTTGTTGCAAGGAAACTGTCATTCTAGTAGTAAAGCACCCATAATGAGTATATAAACAAATATTTTATTGTGTGTGGGGGGTTATGAGGAGGATAGAAAGGGAACGAGATCTGCTGGCTGAGTCAGAGTGGAGGTATGGCAGGCCCTGCCATTTTTGAATTGCTTCTCAGTCACCCTGGCTGCTGGCCTTCTCTATCCTCTTGCCCACCCGGAAGATTGTGACTTGCTGAGCAGAATGTGTGGGGTCTTTTAGGACTTAGTGACCTTTGAGGATGTGGCTGTGGAGTTTACCCAGGAGGAGTGGGTTCTGCTAGATCTTGCTCAGAGGAAACTCTATCAAGCTGTGATGCTGGAAACCTTCTGGAACCTGGCTGCCCTAGGTAAGAATGGCAGCTTTCTTCTATGTAGTGGTTTACAATTTTACCTTACTACCAATCCAGATCTTGAATTTGGGCTGAGGTGTGAGAGTGTTTCAAAATACCCAAGACAAAGGGCTGGGAAGGTGGCTCAGTGGTAGAGCGCTTGCCTTGCATGCATGAGGCCCTGGGTTTGATTCCTCAGCACCACATAAGCAAAAAGAAAAAAGCCGGAAGTGGCACTGTGGCTCAAGTGGTAGAGTGCTAACCTTGAGCTGAAGAGCTGAGGGACAGTGCCCAGGCCCAGAGTTCAGGCCCCATGACTGGACCCCTCCCCCCAAAAATACCTGAGACAACCAACTTAAAGGAGGAAAGATTTGTTTTGGCTCCCAGTTCCAGTGCTTTCGGCCTATGGTGGCTTGGTTCCCTTGGTTTTGGACCAGTGGTAAGGCAGAAGATCCTGGTGGAGAGCATAGTGCAGATCTCATGGAAAGCTAGGACCAGAGAGAGAAAGGGACCAGGGATAGGATGTTGATGTTGCCTTGGAGGCCATGCCCACTGACTGCCCTCCTCCCTTATAGGCTGTTCCTCCTAAACTGTATTAGGACTCCATCAATAGATTAGTGAGGTCAGAGTGTCTTGATTAGTCACTTCCCTAAAGCCCCAATCCTGAACATCAATGCACTGGGTGAGAACGAAGCCTTCCACACATTGGTCTTCCTGGCAGACAACAGCATATCTAAATCATAATGGGAATGTTCTGGTCATTGAGCCCACACAGATTGGTTCTATCTGTAGAGGCTTCGTGATAATGAACATTTATGCCTTGAACTTGTTCTTTTTTTTTTTGGTCCGGTCATGGGGCCTGAACTTGGGCCTGGGCGCTGTCCCTCAGCTTTTCAGCTCAAGGCTAGCGCACTACCACTTGAGCCACAGCTCCACTTCCGGCTTTTTTTTTCCTGCTTATGTGGTGCTGAGGAATCGAACCCAGGACCTCATGCAAGGCAAGCGCTTTACCACTGAGCCACCTTCCCAGCCCGAACTTTGTTCTTTTTAGTGTTGAGAACCTCCAGGGATATATTAAGTGTGGGTATTCAGGGAATACTGTGGGGCACAGAAAGGTAATTTGAGGGTTTTGCTGCTGTAAGTGCCCTCTCCCCTAGACCACCAGGAACACACCTCCAGTTAAATAAGTTGGGTGTATTTCACAGTGCAGCATGGAAGGGCATCCCATCCCCTATAGGGACTTGGAGCATAAAACATGGTATTAGCCTGAGCAAAAGCAGCTCAGGAACAGTGCCCAGGCCCTGAGTTCAAGCCCCAAGACTGGCAAAAAAAAAAAAGAAAAAGAAAATCTTTCGTTTGTGGATAATGCCTCAGAGATTTTCTCCCATTCTGTAAGTTGTCTCTTTACTCTGTTACTTCCTTTTAAATTTGATGTAACTCTACTTGTCAGTTCTTTTTTAATTTTCTTCCAGAGCTAGAGTTTGAACTCAGAGCCTCATGTTTGCTAGGCAGGCACTCTACCACTTGAGTCATTCTTAATGTCCTTTTTACCTTAGTCATTTTTCGGATGGGGTCCTATGCTTTTGCCTGGGTTAACCTTGGGTCATTCTCCTACCTGTGCTTACTGTGTAGCTGGGATTACAGGCATGTGTCATCACACCCAATTTACTTATTGTGGTGTGGCTGGCCTTGATCTATATTGCTAACAATCTCAGCCTTTCAAGTAGCTGGGATTACAGGCATGAATGGAACCACCACACCTGGTCTGTTTCTCAATTCTTGCTCTATTTCTCCTAAAGTCCTCTTTAGTAAATCATTGCCTGTGCCAGTATAGTGAACCATTTCTTTTGTGATTTCCATTAGTAGAAGTTTCAGTGTGAGGTCTTACAGTAAGATCTTTCATCATTTTGAATTGATTTTTACACAGGATGAGAAAAGAGGTCAGTTTTCAATGGATATCTAGTTTTCCCAGTATTTATTTATTTGTTTATTTTGTCTGTTTTGGGGTTTGAATTCAGGGCCTGGATACTGGCTCTGAATTTTTTTTGCTTAGAGTCACAGCTCTACTTTCTGGAATTTTTGTTTTTGTTTTTGGGTCCACTTCTGGCTTTTTGCTGGTCAATTGGAGATAAGAGTCTGTCAGACTTTATTGCCTAGGCTGGCTTTGAACCAAAATCTTCAGATCTCAGCCTCCTGAGTAGCTGAGATTATAGGTGAGAGCCACCAGTGCCTGGCTTCTTCTTATTTTTTGAATTACCATAAATTTTTAATATAAGGAGGTGTCATTGTGATATATATAGTACACAGTGCTCTTGGAACTTCTACACTTCCTTACCATGATTTCACTCCTCCTTTTCTTCCTATTGATGTCCTGGTTCTGGGATGTCCTGGAATGTCACCAAGGTTCAGTTCATTGTTCCATTCCTCCATTCTTCCTTCCCTCTCTCCATCCCTTCATCCGTCCTTCTCTTTTCCTTCCTACCTTTAGTTGTTCCTTCCTTCCCTTCTTTCTCTTCTCTTTTCTCCTTCTCTCCTCTCCCCCATTTTGTTTCAGTTAAACTTATACTTGCTCATTTTAGAGATTCAGAGGATCAGTGTTTTTTTTTTCATTTAAAAATTTTTATTATAAAGATATTGTACAGAGAGGCTACCATTTCCTAAGTCAGGTAATGAGTACACTTCCTTTTGGACAATGTCACCCCTTCCTTCGTTCTCTCCCAGAGAAGGGCAGTATTTCAACCTGGTGGCTTAGTGGAAATGTTTGTGGTTCCTCATTGTTTCTCTTGTGATACTCATTTGCTGTTGTACAGGGTACTCTCTATGGACTCCCTGTCTGATCTCTCAATGGGAGCAGGAAGAGGACCTGCAGTCTATGAAAAGGGGACTTATCCAGGACACCTGTCCTTTGGAGGACCACAAAGGCAAGAATTCTGGGGAGAAACTGTCCTGGTTGGGGGAAAACAAATCAAATGGAAACAAAACTATAAAATTTTGCTTTATCTGAGGAGGGCTGGTATTCCATAGACATGTCAGATTGCAGTTTAACTTTTTGTCAGTTTTCTTGTACTTCCCCTGTTCTTTGCAAAGACCTCCACATTACTCTTTCTAAGTCAGTGTTTGGAATGTGCCCTTAGTTCAGTACCTTCTTGTTCTCCTCTATGAGTCGTGTCCTGCTTTTTGTTGGTGTGTCAGGTCTCTCCTAAACAAATTCCTTCTCACCGTTGTGCCTGTTCCTAACAGCCCGGTCCTTTGCTCATTGGCATCTTCCCTTTTTTCAGGTTTTGAGACTCAACTTAAAACTGATGAATTAGTTCTTCAAGCTACTGAGGTAGAGAAGCTATCCAAAGAACAGGAAATAGTAGGACTGAAAAGGAATGATTCCTGGTCCTCTGCTTCACAGGAAAACTGGGGATCCCAAGATAGTGATTGTCAGAACAAAAGCCAGGAGACACCTCTGAGGTTAGTGCCTTTATATAAAAGAAAGTAGTGCCTCAGGAAAAAAGGATCCAATAGCTTCAGATTAAGTTGGGTACTAGTGGCTATACTCCTAGCCACTTAGGAGTTTGAGATCTGAGGATCGTAGTTGGTAGATCTCACAGAATCTCACCAAAAAGCTGGAAGTGGAGCTCTGCCTCAAGTGGTAGAACGCCAACCCTTGAACAATAAAGTTAAGGTACAGCACTCAGGCTCTGAGTTCAAGCCCCAAGACTGGCACACACACACACAAAATCTTCAGTATTAGAAATAGCTGTGTATAAAAGTTTCAGACAAAAATGTATTAATTTAGTATTTTGTGTAGATCTTTATTTTTCTGCAAAGAAGACTGAAATATTGAATGTTTGACACATACTTCTGTTGGAAACAATTACCAGGAAATACTTCCTGATTCAGAAACATGGTGATAGTAATTGGCTGGGATGGAGCCTTCTGTGATATCTGGTACAGTCTAAAGTGACAGGGTTGAAAACACACATGCACTAAAAATGCATTATTATTAATAATAATCTGTCTTTAATTTTTAGAAGTCATGTGTTGGAGAGTGCCTATGAATGTAATGAAGAAAATTGGCTGGACAGGATGGCTGAAGTGTCATCATACAGGTGTCACCAGTGTGGCAAGGCCTTCACGTTCCATTCGTCCCTCAAGAATCACCTCAGGTCCCATGCTGGGAGCAAGCCTTATCAGTGCAAGGAGTGTGGCAAAGCCTTCCACTTCCTTGCTTGTTTTAAGAAGCATCTGAAAACTCCCATTGAGGAGAAGCCTTATGAGTGTCAAGAATGTTCCAGAACCTTCAGCTGTTCCTCACTCTTTAGGGCCCATATGAAGATTCACAGTGACAAAGGCAACTATGAATGTGAGGAATGTGGGCATGTTTTCAGTAGCTTTTCCTACCTCACAGAACATAAAAGGATCCACAATGGAGAGAAGCCTTATGAATGTAAGGAGTGTGGGAAAGCCTTCAGTTGCTCCTCATCGCTCTCCAAACACAAAAGAATCCATAGTGGGGATAAGCCCTATGAATGTAAGGAGTGTGGGAAAGCCTTCAGTTCCTCCTCCCACCTCATCATTCACATCAGAATCCACACTGGGGAGAAGCCTTATGAATGCAAGGAGTGTGGGAAGGCCTTCAGCGAGTCCTCAAAGCTCACTGTCCATGCGCGAGTCCACACTGGAGAGAAGCCGTATAAATGTGAGGAATGTGGGAAAGCCTACAATTGTCCCTCCTCCTTAAGTATCCATATGAGAAAACACACTGGGGAAAAGCCGTATGAATGTTTTGAATGTGGAAAAGCCTTTTACCTTCCCACGTCCCTGAACACACATGTGAAAAATCAGAGTAGAGAGAAGCCATCTGAGTGTAAGGATTGTGGGAAGGCCTTCAGTTGTCCCTCATCTTATAAGGCGCATGTGCGGGACCACATGGGGAAGGTACAGTATGAATGTAAGGAATGTGGGAAGGCCTTTAATCGCTCCTCATCCCTCACTGAACACTTAAGAACTCACAGCGGAGAGAAGCCTTATGAATGTACAGAGTGTGGGAAAGCCTTTATTAGTTCGTCCCATCTAACAGTCCACAGACGAACTCACACGGGAGAAAAACCATACGAATGTCAGAAATGTGGAAAAGCCTTCATTTACTTCTCAGCCCTTAGCATCCACATGAGAACACACACTGGAGAAAAGCCATATGAATGCAAGGCGTGTGGGAAGGCATTTCGACACTCTTCTTATCTCACCGTCCATGCAAGGATGCACACTGGGGAAAAACCCTTTGAATGTCTGGAGTGTGGGAGGGCCTTCAGCTGTCCCTCATCCTTCCGACGGCATGTGAGAAGCCACACTGGAGAGAAGCCATATGAATGTAAGGAATGTGGGAAAGCCTTTATTTGCCCAGCCTATTTTCGAAGACATTTGAAAATTCATACTCGAGAAAACACATAAATGTAAAGAATATGGCATGTGAGCAAGGCTTTTTCTAATCTTGGGGTAACTTCAGAAGTCTCATACTGTGAAGACACCTCATAAATAGGACAAAGTAGGAGATTCCTGTGCCTCCTTTTGAAGACCTGAGGATATGTGAGAGAAACTGTGTAAACCACGTGGTAAATAGCTCCACACTGTCACCATTTGTTTATACTAGATCTGTGCCTCACCATTAAAGAGGAACTGCTGGCTCACTGTTTTTCTTTCTAACGAGAGAGACAAATCTTTTCAATTATAGGTGCATTTAATAGGTTCACTTATTTTGTCTCAAATATAAATTCTTTTCATTACAGAAGTCTTCTGGACCCTGGTGTTGTACATCCTCATACACATAAGCATGGATATACACATATAGACACACACACACACACACACACACACACATATACCCCCCCCTTTTTTTTTGAGGGGGACAAGATATGCCCAGGTTGGCCTTCAACTGCTGGACTCAAGTGAACCTCCTGCCTATAGACTCTGAAGTTAAGTAGGATTACATACATGGCCACTATGCTTGGCTGACATGCATTTTCATATGTAAACTGGAGAGCCTTTTTTTTTGGTGGGTCATGGGACTTGAACTCAGGGCCTAGGTCCTGTCCCTGAGCTCTTTTGCTCAAGGCTAGCACTCTACCACTTTGAGCCACAGCACTACTTCTGTTTTGCTTCTGGTGGTTAATTGATGATGAGTCTCATGGACTTCCCTGCCTGGGCTGGCTTTGAACCATTATCCTCAGATCTCAGTCTCCTGAGTAGCTAGGATTACAGGTGTGACCACCAGTGCCTAGCAAGCTGTTTCCTAGTTGGTTTCTAGGGCTGGGGATATATAAGCTCAGTAGGAGAGTGCTTGTCTGGTGTGATTAAGACCCTTGGTTCAGTCTTCAGTACTGAAGGTAACTTGGCTTCTAATTCTCATTTTTCTCTTAGGTATGTGGCCAATATGTTATGGACACTTAGTTTTAATTGCTAAATTTTTGAAAGTCTTTTGGGCAGGTATTGGAAATAGACTACCCAATATTTTCCTTTCCTTCCCTCTTGTTTATTAAAGAGAATCTACTGTTTTTGAAAAGAGCAGTTTTTACTATCAAAAGCTTTTCATGTGTAATAAGTAGTTTTGCCAAGAAGTAGAGATCTTGTGGGAAGATGGTCTCATTTGATCTTGTCATGTTTTACTCTTTGTTCTTCATGCTAGAGCTCTCAATATTTTTTGAGTTTAAATTTAAACACCATGCTAACAATGCAAACTTTGGTATGGCTAGGGACTACATTTCCTAGTTTAATGTCTTTCTTCAGTTCTAAAATTGGCTAGGTTTGTGCAGTGTTTGGAAGGCTTGAAGGAAGAATCCCATTCTCTGTGTGGTAGGCAGACTCATGGTCCTGGTATACAGATGGGGTCTGGTGGTCACCAGTGTTGAGCTCATTTTCCTGAAGCTGTGTGTGTGTGTGTGTGTGTGTGTGTATGTGTGTGTGTTGGTACCAGTGTCTTGAACTCAGGGTCTGGGCACTGTCCCTGAGCTTAGGGAATTAAGGCTACTGCTCTACCGCTTGGGCCACAACCCTACTTCCAGCTTTTTAGTGGTTAATGAGATTAAAAGTCTCATGTATTGCCCTGCCCAGGCTGGTTTTGCACCTCGGTCCTGAGATCTCAGCTTCCTGAGCATAGCGAGCATCACAGACATGAGCCACTAGCACCTGGCTCTTTACAATATTGTGTCTTTCAACAACATGATACAGTGTCCATCTTCCTAGGTCATCTTAATTTTAGAGGTCTTAAATATCATTGCTTAAGCGCTTGCCTAGCAAGCGCAACATCCTGGGTTCGATCCCCAGTACCAAAAAAGAAAAGACAAAAAAAATACAGTTAAATATCATTGCTTATTTCTGACCACAGACTATATTTTGCTTTGTAATTTTTTTCTATTCTTATATAAATTACAATATTGTCTTTGTACATTAACCTTATAGGTAGTGACATTAATTCATTTAGTTTATGATTTGGTGTTTTCTTTATTTATATTCATGACATACCAATAGAGGGATATCTTACCTAATTTCCAAGTTTTATCCTTTACTTTTCTCACCTGTTTTTTTTTTTTTTTAAGCATAGAAGTCACTAAGGTACATCTTTACTTTGTTCCTTAGGAAATATGTTCAGTATCACCATTAATTATAATTCCCCACCTGTTTTTGAAAGATGACCTTTATGAAGGGAATTCTGTTTTACTCCTGGATTTTTGTTTTGTCTGTTGTGGGCTTGAACTCTGGGCCTCGGCACTGTCCCTCAGCTCTTCAGCTTAAGGCAAGTGCCACTTCCGGTATTCTGGTAGTTTATTGGAGATAAGAGTCTGGACATTCCTACCTGGGCTGGCTTTGAACCTCAATCCTCAGATATCAGCCTCCTGAATAGCTAGGATTACAGGCGTGAGCCACCTGCGTCCGGCTTTATTTTTGCTTTATAACATGGGATATTGTTTTGTCCAATGCCTTTTTTGTATGTATCAAAGTCTTTAAAAAGTCCTGGTTTCTTCATGTTTTGGTAAACTTCACATTATTTAATTTTCAGATGATAACTTCTTTCTTGAAGTAAACCACACTGGGACATGGTATATTTTCCTGGATTTAGAAATTAATTTTTGCCAGTCCTGGGGCTTGAACTCAGGGCACTGTCCCTGAATTTCTTTTGCTCAAGGCTAGTGCTCTACCACTTGAGCCACAGAGCCACTTCCAGCTTTTTCTGCTTATGTGGTACTGAGGATTTGAATCCAGGGCCTCATGCATGCAAGGCAAGCACTCTACCACTGAGCCACCTTCCCAGCCCAAGAAATTTATGTTTTGAAGTGCTGGAGTTCTAAACTAGGGGCCTTGCAGATGCTCTGACTACGAGCCACATCTCCCACACCCCAGCTCTTGGTGAGTTCAGAAATTCACCTCTGTATCATACTAATGAGCTATTTATCTTGTGATTTCCTCTATCATGATGTATATGTATTATTTTAACATCACACAAGGAATTAGAAACTTCTGAAGAAAGGAGTCAGGTGGGTTAGACACTATGACTTTATGAATGAAAAAGGATATCTGAAGAGAGGAATCATGAAATGGCTGATAAATACCCAGAAAAGGAAAGGCAACAGTAAAGAGTAGGAAAAGTCCACATCTCTAACCCTGGCTTCCCAGTGGGTAGAGGAAACAAGTTATAAACATAAGGTAAACCAAATGGGTCTGGTGACTAGAATTTCCCATAAGCCTTAGTCCCAGTATGGAGGTTTTGTGTGACAGTGACTATTCCTGCATGGCAGGCTAACTATGGAGAAAGATGGTAGCTACTCAAGAGAGCTATAGTGAGCATTTTTTTTTTTTGATGAGTTGCTCTAATTATAATGAGTAATTACAAGTCAGAAAGTCTGTAGACACCCATGGGCAGCTGAAAAGTTTAAGCCACTGAGAAACATGTCTAAACATTGGTAATACTTCACGTGAAAGAGTACAGGTAATTAAAGCTTCCAACCAAGAACATGGCCTCAGCTGTGCAAATTCCAACACAACACAAGAAATATGAAAAAACACCCAAGGCAACACAATACTTCCAAAAGAACCATTCCAAAATAACATGATAGAATCATCAAAAAGTTTGAATTCCCCCAAAATTCAAATGGGATATAAGAATGGTCAGCAAAGAGGCCAGGAATAAATTCCTGGATGAAATCTAGGAAAAGACAAAATGAATAAATGAGTGAAATAAAACTGCAAAATATGAAAAAAGAAAGAATATAGACATCTAGAAGTTCTGAAAATGAAAAGCTCAGCTGAAAGCCTCACCAATATAAAGGAATAGTTGAAGATAGATTTTTTTTTAGAGGGAAGACAAGGTAGAACACTCAGATTGACATGAAACATTGAAGATGTCTTTGGATAATATTTAGCAGACCAAAACTATGGACCACGGACATAGAAGATGTGCTAGCTATAAAAGTATAGAAAATATTTGGTAAAATACTAGAAAATTCTTTAAGTCTTAAGAGATGGCCATATTAACTCAGAAGGCTTTAAATACTCTATTCAGAGAAGTCCACAGAAGTACCTCCCTATGTCATATTGTAGTTATATATTAAGTACACAGAATCTTGTGCCATAGTTAAAACATTACAGAATAAGAGCAGGCTATTGAAAGCTATAAGAGAAAAGCTCCAATCTGCCAGAGTAATAGATTTCTCCACAGAAATTCTAAACACAAAGAGGGCAGGGGAAAATGTATGTTAAACCTGAAAGAAAAAAAATGCCAACAGATTATTCTATTAAGCAAAGCTATCTTTTATAATTGAGGAAGAAATTTTAAGAACTGCCACAATAAAAGTGAAATAGTGTACACCCATGAGCCAGCTCTGCAGAAGTCACTTAATAGAATCCTGTGCCCAGGATAAATGCAGCTATAAAAAAAGGGAAAGGAGATTTTATTAGACAAGGAGTAGGAAAGAAGCCTCACAAAAAATAAAAAAATGACAGGAATTATTACATACTTTTTAATAAGTGAATGTTAGTGACCTAAAATTTTCAACCAGAAGGCAGATTGGAAGGTTGGATTAAGTAACAAACCCCCAACATTTGTTGCCTATAAGAAACTCATTTCACTTGCAAGGTCTAAAGCATACTGGAAGTGAAATAATTATTCTTTCCCAATGCTTCCCGAGTAAGAAAGTACCACCTTGCTCAACTTTAAAATTGTTTTAAAACGTCTTTGGCACTGGGGTTTGAACGCAGGGCATTGTATTTAGTAGATATGTGCTCTAGAGCTGAGCACCTCCATATTAGATGTGGGGCTTGAACTCAGGGCCTGGGAGCTGTCCCTGAGCTTCTGCTCAAAGCTAGCCCTCTACCACTTGAGCCACAGTGCCACTTCTGGTTTTTTAGTGGTTGGTTGCAGATAAGTGTCTCATGGATTTTCCTTCCTGGGGCTGGCTTTGAACTGCAGTCCTCAGATCACAGCCTTCTGAGTATCTGGGATTATAAATGTGAACCACCAACACCTAGCTCCTTTATTATTAACTTTTTGACACTAATTTTTGAGATAGCATCTTGCTTTTCACCTGGGCCACACTTCCAGTTCTGCTTTTTGGTGATTATATAGTCTGTGGAGTAGCTAGTTTATATAGTTTCTCTTTTTAAGTTAAAAAAATTTTTTCTTTTGGTAGTTCTGGAGCTCTTATTTAGCTTTTTGTTTTTTGGCTCAGGTCTGGTGTTCTACCACTTGAGCCACAGTTACAGTTCTGGCTTTTTGCTACTTAATGTAAGATAAACTCACAGACTTGCCTGCCCATGCTAACTTTGAACGATGATCTTCAGATCTCAGCCTCCTGAGTAGCTACAATTACAGATGTGAGCCACTAACATTTGGCTTGACTTTTTTTTTTTTTTTGGTCGGTCATGGGGCTTGAACCTTGGGCCTGGGCGCTGTCCCTCAGCTCTTCAGCTCAAGGCTAGTGCTCTATGGCTTGAGCTACAGCGCCACTCCCGGTTTTCTGAGTCATTTATTGAAGATAAGAGTCTCACAGAAGTCCTGCCTGGGCTGGCTTTGAACTGTGATCCTCAGATCTCAGCCTCCTGAGTAGCTAGGATTACAGGCATGAGCCACCCACACCCGGCTCTGGCTTGACTGCTTTTAACCTTATAGTTCATTGTACACTTTTAAAAGCCATTCTCTTCTCTATGATTAGTGGTGGTCAGAAAATGTGGACACTTGGGCTGGGAAGGTGGTTCAGTGGTAGAGTGCTTGCCTTGCATGCATGAGGCCCTGGATTCACATCCTCAGTACCACATAAGCAGAAAAAGCTGGAAGTGGAGCTGTGGCTCAAGTGGTAGAGTGCTCACCTTGACCTGAAGAGCTGAGGGACAGTGCCCAGGCCCAGAGTTCAGGCCCCATGACTGACCAAAAAAAAACAAAAAAAACAACCCAAAAACAAACAGTAAAAGAAAATGTGGACACGTTCTCCAAGAGGCAATCCAAGAATAGAGTATCTTTCTCTGTCATTCCTGCCCTTGAGAAGCCCCACTGCTCAGGGAATGAACACATTCTTGACCAATTTGTTTAATTAGCTTCTGAGAGCATAGAACCCTCACCCCTCAGGGCACAATCAGCAGCTTGTTAACTTCAAGTCACCAAGGCCCTCAAGTGCCAGGCTTAAGACTCTCATGCCTTCGCCCAGGTGAAAGCAGCTGGGTCTTGGATACCAGGACTGACTCTTTCTCCCTGCTCCTTTGGGGCACAGATCTTCTGTCTTCATCACTCATCCTCTATGAGAGAACAAGAGCCAAGAGTTGGCCATGTGTGGTCCACATTGCCAAGCCTGCATAGCCCAGTAAGTGTGTAGGGAAACAGGGAACAGAGATACTTAGCTTGAGTGGAAAGATGACTGTTGTAAAGCACAGGGCCGGGGAAGGCCTGGGATGTTTATAGTTTATGAATTGCTCATGAGGATAACAGCTGGGAAAGTAGAATGCTGGACTAGTTATTTAACCTTCTCTTTGTATAGTGTGCTTTTACTTGGGGGGTGTATATTTTGAGTGAATACCCTTCCTTTCTCTCCTCCCTTCCTCCCTCCCTCTTCCTCTCTTCCTTCCTTCCCTCCCTCCTTCCTTCCTTCTCTCTTTCCTCTTTTCCTTCCTTCCTTCCTCCCTCCTTTCTTCCTTCCCTCCCTCCTTCCTTCCTTCCATCCTTCCTTCTCTCTTTCCTCTTTTCCTTCCTCCCTCCCTCCCTCTCTTCCTTCCTTCCATCTTTCCTCCCTCTTTTCCTTCCCTCCTTCATATCTCCCTTCCTTTCTTCTTTTACCTCCCTCACTTTCTTCCTCCCTTCATTTTCTCTTCCTCTTTCCATCCTTCCCCACTTCTTTCCTTCCTTTCTCTGTTTCTCCCACTCCATTCTTTCTTTCCTTTGGGATGTAAACCTACATCCTGTCCATCCTGCTGTAGTTTATTCATATATTTTCCCTGCTCTCAAATTTTCTTATTGTTCAGACATGGTCATCTGACTCTCTTCTGAGACTGAGTTCTGCCCTAGACCAGGAAGACTCAGACCTTTCCTTACATTCATGTGTGATAGAGCAAATGTGGGCGATTTTATCCTTAAGGTTTAGGGCTGGGAATGAGGTTTAGTGGTAGAGTGCCTAACATACATGAAGCCATGGGTTTGATTCCTCAGTACTACACAAACAGAAAAAGCCAGAAGTGGTGCTGTGGCTCAAGTGGTAGAGTGCTAGCCTTGAGCCAAAAAGAAGCTCAGGGACAATGCCCAGGCCCTGAGTTCAAGACCTAGGATGGGCAAAAAACCCAAAATATCCTTAAGGTCTCAAGACTTGCTTAACTTGTGTTGGTGATTCTAAAATAGGCATGAAGGAATGGAGGACACCCCACACCATGCCCCCAGACCAATGGATATGGATTGCTTAGCATCAGGACCTCTTCCCTATAATTAACAGCAGAACGCAGGTTTCCTAAGCTTTATCATATTGTCTTGTGTGTCTGATCTTTCACCTCAAGAAATAATAATAAAAAAAGAACCCAGATGTAGTATCTATTTCATGTTCTTTCTCTTCGTCTAATTGTCCAGCTGATAGGTCAACAACATGAAACCAGGAAATCAGACCAAGGTGGTAGAATTCTTACTCCTGGGATTTTCCCAAGATGCACAGGATCAGCCAATGCTCTTTGGGCTGTTCCTGTCCATGTACCTGATCACTGTGCTTGGAAATCTTCTCATCATCCTTGCTGTCAGCTCTGACCCCCACCTCCATATCCCCATGTACTTCTTCCTCTCCATCCTCTCCTTGGCTGACATCGGCTTCACCTCCACCACTGTCCCCAAGATGCTGGTGAACCTCCAGACGCAGACTAAATCCATCAGTTATGCAGGCTGTCTTACCCAGATGTATTTTTTCATGGTTTTTGGAGGCCTGGACACCTTTCTCCTGACTGTGATGGCTTATGACAGGTTTGTGGCCATCTGTCACCCTCTCTACTACCCAACCATCATGAACCCCCAACTGTGTGGTCTGTTGGTTCTTGTGTCCTGGTTCATCAGCTTGTCCTATTCTCTGATCCAGAGTCTGTTGATGTTGCGTCTGTCTTTCTGCACCAATTGGGTCATTCGACATTTTTATTGCGAACTTGCTCAGGCTCTGATGTTGGCTTGCTCCAACACCCTGATCAGTCACATCCTGCTCTATATGGTGACCGGCCTCCTTGGCTTTGTTCCTTTGTCAGGAATCCTTTACTCCTATGTCCAAATTGTCTCCACCATCATGAGAATCCCTTCAGCAGATGGAAAATACAAAGCCTTTTCTACCTGTGGTTCCCATCTCTCTGTGGTTTCTTTATTCTATGGGACAGGCCTTGGTGTCTATCTCAGCCCCAGTACTTCACCCTCTTCCCAGAAGGGCATGGTGGCCTCGGTGATGTACACAGTGGTGACCCCCATGCTGAACCCCTTCATCTACAGCCTGAGGAACAAGGACATTAAGACAGCCTTGTGGAAGCTTCTTGGTAGAATGCTGCGTGTCTACTGATGTATTGATTCTTTGGGCCTGGATTTCTCAAGCTGTGAGCAGAGGACGGATGGTGAGAGAGTAAATTCTGCCTCTAAATCTTGTACTCTTTGCCTCTCTTTGGTTTTCTGTCCTCGATCAAAATTACCCTGTGAGTACTTTCTGTCAACCTTTTGTGTCCACTTTTCTGTTATTGTCAGTCCAACTTCCCCTTTTTATCCATGTGACATCACAGTTATTATTGTAGAAAGGAAGTGATTGCTAACCATTTCTGATGTATAAAGTTTCCAAGACAACTGCTGTCCACCATGCTGCCTCCACAAAAGTTGAGAGCCAGAAGTTGTCGTCGTGTGATAAGAACACATCACACAACCCCACCTCAACCATTGGAATTGTACAGAGGATAGGTAGAAAAGAGTGTGAAGTTCTTCTGAGCACCACACATCTGAAACTGTAAGCAGAAGATTCAATTCTCTCAAATATCTGGAAACAGGAGAAGATGGGAAAAATAGAAGATCACTGAGTTATTCAAAAGAAAACTCTGTTAGAGGCAGCAGTGTGGAGAACACTATGTTGTGTGGTAAGCCAGGCACCAGACACATGCCCCATATTGTTCTATGCATAGAAGCCAGTCAGTTAATCTTGTAGATGTACAGAACGGAATACTAGAAACTAGAGACTGAGGAGGGTGAAGGGAGAGAGATTATGATTGAATTTTAGGGACCAGGGAGAGTGCTGGGCAGAGATGGGGATGTGGAAGCAGGACCATGGGTAAGAAAAGGGAAGATGGACATGATCAAGATATATGATGTATATGTGTGCAGAAGTATCTCAGCAACCCATTGATTTGTACAATGAATAGATGTCAAAATGTAAATAAAAAAGTGAAACCACCCCAAATTAGTCTTTAAAAAATGGAAAGATCCATTTATTTATTGACTGTTGACACTTCACCATTCCAGGGTTGACTTTTTTTTTTTTTTGCTTAAACTTTCAGGAAATTCTCTCCAAAATAAAGGATCTCATTCTTACCAGGAAAGAACTGAGCTTCTCAAAAAATAAAATAAAATAAGAAGTAAAACAAAAGAGGGTTAGAGATTTTTAACACATAATTAAAAGTTGATAGCTTAGGAATCACAAACTACTCAAACCTGATATCTTTATTAAGTAATTAGAAATGAACATACAATTATGAGCCATGATTTACTTTAGTTTTTCTCTGGTTTAACACAGAAGCTACATTTAAATTTTTCTTTCCTTTTCTTCTTTTTTTATTTTTTAAATTGCTATCATAAAGGTGATGTACAGAGGGGTTACAGTTACGTAAGCCAGGTAAAGAGTTCCTTTTTGGACAATGTCACCCCCTCCCTGGCTGTCTCCCTGGATTTTCCTTCCTGTCCCCACCCACAAGTTATATAGTTCATTTTTCATAAAGTACCACTGCTGTATTTGTTTACCTTTTGTCCCTCCATTTCTGTTCCCCCTTACCCTTGCAAAGACAGATAAACAGGACAAAAATACAAGAAAACAAAAACAGCAATGAAGAAATAAATACCTTTTATCCATTCCTGGGCCTCATTTTGATAAATATTATTTCATATGATCAGATGCACAGAGGCATTGTGCCTTTGTGTTCCCTCCTTTGGTCTCACTGTCACTTTTTTTTTTTTTTGGTTCCAGTCCTGGGGTTTGAACTTAGTACTTGGACATTGTCCAGGTGGTTGTTTTTGCTCAAGGCTAACACACTACCACTTAAGCCACAGCTCAACACCCACCTTTTTTGATGGTTAATTGGAGATAAGAGTCTCATGGACTTTCCTGCCCCGACTGGTTTGGATTCTCAGATCTCAGCCTCCTGAGTACCTGGGATTATAGGTGTGAGCCACCAGTGCCCAGCAAAGTTTGTCTTTTTGTGAGTCTTTTTGAAAGTTAGTATGTAGCAGGTTTCTTTCACATATGATTTGCTTATAATATACCTTGATTAAATTCACCCTCTCTATTGCTCTCTCTCCTCCCTTCTTCTTAAAACAATTCTGGAGGTTTTGTTGTTCCGTTGATGCAAAGCATTTTGGTAGTACCCATCCCTTTTTCCCTGTCCATTTTCCCTCCCTCCTTTCACTCATGCCCCTCCCCCACAGGACTTGAGATACATCCCTGTCTCTCTTTCTCTCTTTTTTTTTTGTATCTGTCATGGGGCTTGAACTCAGGGCATGGGCACTGTCCCTGAGCTCTTTTGCTCAAGGCTAGTGCTCTACCACCTTGAGCCACAGCACCACTTCCAATTTTTGGTGGTTAATTGGAGATAAGTGTCTCACAGGGACTTTTCTGTCCAGGCTAGCTTCAAATCATGATCCTCAGATCTCAGCCTCCTGAGTAGCTAAGGTTACAAGCATGAGCCACCAACACCCAGCCCCTGTTTCTCATTTTTTAAAGTGCATAGAGGTTTTACCATGTCATTTCACACACACTATGTTTATCAGATTTATACCCTCTGCTACTCTCTTTATCCTTCCCCTTGCTCCCTTCTTTATGCCATCTTAATAAACAGAGCAATGGATTTCAATATTTTTCCTTTCTGTCTCTGTCTCTATCTCTCCGTCTCTCTCTTCTTTGTGGGTCCTTGAATTCAGGGCCTGGGCACTGTCCTTAAGCTTTTTCACTCAAGGCTGGCATTTTACCAGATTTTCAGATGAACAAGTGTTGTAGATGTACAACAAGCAACAATCTTGACTGGGTAAGGTGTTTCCTTTTGACACGTGTGTGGATCCAAGATATTAAACATTTTAAGTCACAGGACTCTATCATTCAAGAAGATGATTTAGGAGAAAACCATATCAGCATTGTTGGTGGAAAAAAGTGTTCTAAATGTCAATTAGAAGTCTACAGAAAACCTGAACAAAGCTGATCCAGAGTAGAACCTTAAAGTCAGTCTACAGGGAAGAAGAGTTTCAAAGGAGTGATGGAGGAAGTGATTGGAGAGAAACAAATACACATATCCAAGGAGAGTAATATGTGCTTTGGGAGATAAAAAAATAAAAACAAAGAAACATGACCTTTACAGAAGTAAAAAAGCCAAGATAGCCAGAAAACCAGTGGCTCACATCTGCAATCCTAGCTACTCAAGAGGCTGAGACCTGAGGATCACAGTTCAAAGTCATCAGGGCAAAACAATTCTGAGAGCTGCTTATCTCCAGTTAACCAGCAAAAATCCAGAACTCCAGGTGTTTCTCAAGTGGTAGAGTGCCTGTCTTGAGTGAAAAAGATCCATGACAGAAAAGTGCCCTTAGTTTACACACACACACACACACACACACACACACACACACACACAGAGCCAGGATAGGAGAACTCACAGAATTTTCCTTAGGGGTTGTAGTGCCTTTTAATTTTGTGGTCAGAAATCCATTTTGGACAAGAGATAGTTCTGTTGAGTCTCCCTAGGGCCCTCTTCACATCCTTGTTCCTCCGGCTGTAGATGAAGGGGTTCAGCATAAGGGTGACCACTGTGTACACAACTGAGGCCACACAGATCTTTCTTGGGATGAATGAGTCATGGCTGAGGGAAGGTACACCCCAAATCCTGTCCCGTAGAACAAGAAGACCACACAGACGTGATAGCCACAGGTGGAGAAGGCTTTGTGCTTGCTAGCTATGGAGGACATCTTCATTAAAGAAGAGAGAATCTGACAGTAAGGGAACAAGATCCCAGCAGCAGGAAATACACAAATCAGGGCAGTCACCACATACAGACAGATAGTGTTGCTCAGAGTATCAGAGCTGGCTACCCTGAGAAGCTGAACCAATTCATAGAAGAAATGGGGGATCTCGGTGCCCATGGAGAAGGTCAGTTGAATCATCAAGGACATGGAGCATAGTGACATAGAACATGATGATCCGAGACACGAGGACCAGGAGGCCACAGAAGTGAAGGTTCATGATGTCTGCGTAGCTCAATGGGTGACAGATGGCCACAAAGTGGTCCAAGGCCATCATCGTCAATAGGAAATCATCCAATAAGAAATACATCTGAGTGAGGCACTCTGGGTAGGAGATGTCCTTCCTCTGTGTCTGGATGTTCACGAGCATCTTGGGACGGTGGTGGAGGTGAAGCAGATGTCCACAAAGGTCATGTTGGAGAGGAAGAAGTACATGGGGTTATGGAGGTGAGGGTCATAGGTGATGGCCAGGATGATGAGCAGATTTCCAAGCACAGTGATCAGGTACATGGACAGGAACAGCCCAAAGAGGATGGGTTGGAGTTCAGGGATATCTAAGAGACCCAGGAGGAGGAATTGTGATTCCCCTGTGTGGTATTGTGCTGTCAGAGCCCTGGCTGTTATCCTTAGGGGAAAACAAGCCAAAATTCAATCAACATCCACTGGGAGCTCAGGCGGTCACCCCTACCAATGCCACTGCTTCCCGTGGGGTTGACCTGCACAGCCAAGAGTGACTCAAGTCACTTTAAGGTGATAATATTTGGGTAAGTTTCTCCTGTTTTATATTCAGTAACTTTTTGATGTCTTTGTATTTCTGGCGCTTGTCCTGAGGCTTGAACTCAGGACCTGGGTGCTACCTCTAAGCTTTTTGGCTTAAAGCTAGTTCTCTACCTCTTAGCTGCATCTCCACTTTTGGCTATTTGGTGGCTCTTGGGAGATAAGAGTTATCACAAACTTTTCCAGCCCAAACTGGCTTCGAACTATGGTCTTCAGATCTCAGCCTCTTGAGTAGCTAGGATTACAGGTGCGATCCACAGAGCTTGGCTTTGATTTCCATCTTGAAATTTATTGATATAAGTTAATTTTGTTATGGCCCTTGTAGAATATTGGAGGTGATTTTCTGTGTCCTGTTTGATAACTTCCATATTTTTTAATCCTATCAGCTGTGCAATAGTAATGTAGTATTGATTTACAATGGAAACAATCTCTATTCCCTGATGTGACACTTGCCAGGGACGTATTTTTTCTCTATAAATATAGTTATTACAGAAACCATTTTTAGATTTCAAATACGTTTCAGTGGAG